TTCAAGTCTTCATATCTACCTGTTATTCTCTTGAATTTCACTATTTCTTGAAACAATTTGCCCTTATTTACTTAATGGTAACTATGGTACTTAGACACACTCTTTAGATAAGGACTGTAGTTTGCAATATCCAGGCCCTTTTTTATTTGATTTCACTCTCCATGTTATCTAGTAGTTCTTAACTTGTTTGTCAATATTTATATCACATTGATGGTTCTTTACATGTTGTCATGGTACAGATCACATTGATGGTTCTTTACATGTTGTCATGGTACAGATCACATTGATGGTTCTTTACATGTTGTCATGGTACAGATCACATTGATGGTTCTTTACATGTTAATTGTCATGGTACAGATCACATTGATGGTTCTTTACATGTTGTCATGGTACAGATCACATTGATGGTTCTTTACATGTTGTCATGGTACAGATCACATTGATGGTTCTTTACATGTTGTCATGGTACAGATCACATTGATGGTTCTTTACATGTTGTCATGGTACAGATCACATTGATGGTTCTTTACATGTTGTCATGGTACAGATCACATTGATGGTTATTTACATGTTAATTGTCATGGTACAGATCACATTGATGGTTCTTTACATGTTGTCATGGTACAGATCACATTGATGGTTCTTTACATGTTGTCATGGTACAGATCACATTGATGGTTCTTTACATGTTGTCATGGTACAGATCACATTGATGGTTCTTTACATGTTGTCATGTACCTTACAGATCACATTGATGGTTCTTTACATGTTGTCATGGTACAGATCACATTGATGGTTCTTTACATGTTGTCATGGTACAGATCACATTGATGGTTCTTTACATGTTGTCATGGTACAGATCACATTGATGGTTCTTTACATGTTGTCATGGTACAGATCACATTGATGGTTCTTTACATGTTGTCATGGTACAGATCACATTGATGGTTCTTTACATGTTGTCATGGTACAGATCACATTGATGGTTCTTTACATGTTGTCATGGTACAGATCACATTGATGGTTCTTTACATGTTGTCATGGTACAGATCACATTGATGGTTCTTTACATGTTGTCATGGTACAGATCACATTGATGGTTCTTTACATGTTGTCATGGTACAGATCACATTGATGGTTCTTTACATGTTGTCATGGTACAGATCACATTGATGGTTCTTTACATGTTGTCATGGTACAGATCACATTGATGGTTCTTTACATGTTGTCATGGTACAGATCACATTGATGGTTCTTTACATGTTGTCATGGTACAGATCACATTGATGGTTCTTTACATGTTGTCATGGTACAGATCACATTGATGGTTCTTTACATGTTGTCATGGTACAGATCACATTGATGGTTCTTTACATGTTGTCATGGTACTTGATGGTTCTTTACATGTTGTCATGGTACAGATCACATTGATGGTTCTTTACATGTTGTCATGGTACAGATCACATTGATGGTTCTTTACATGTTGTCATGGTACAGATCACATTGATGGTTCTTTACATGTTGTCATGGTACAGATCACATTGATGGTTCTTTACATGTTGTCATGGTACAGATCACATTGATGGTTCTTTACATGTTAATTGTCATGGTACAGATCACATTGATGGTTCTTTACATGTTGTCATGGTACAGATCACATTGATGGTTCTTTACATGTTGTCATGGTACAGATCACATTGCTGGTTCTTTACATGTTGTCATGGTACAGATCACATTGATGGTTCTTTACATGTTGTCATGGTACAGATCACATTGATGGTTCTTTACATGTTGTCATGGTACAGATCACATTGATGGTTCTTTACATGTTGTCATGGTACAGATCACATTGATGGTTCTTTACATGTTGTCATGGTACATATCACATTGATGGTTCTTTACATGTTGTCATGGTACAGATCACATTGATGGTTCTTTACATGTTGTCATGGTACAGATCACATTGATGGTTCTTTACATGTTGTCATGGTACAGATCACATTGATGGTTCTTTACATGTTGTCATGGTACAGATCACATTGATGGTTCTTTACATGTTGTCATGGTACAGATCACATTGATGGTTCTTTACATGTTGTCATGGTACAGATCACATTGATGGTTCTTTACATGTTGTCATGGTACAGATCACATTGATGGTTCTTTACATGTTGTCATGGTACAGATCACAGATCACATTGATGGTTCTTTACATGTTGTCATGGTACAGATCACATTGATGGTTCTTTACATGTTGTCATGGTACAGATCACATTGATGGTTCTTTACATGTTGTCATGGTACAGATCACATTGATGGTTCTTTACATGTTGTCATGGTACAGATCACATTGTCACATGTTGTCATGGTACAGATGATGGTTCTTTACATGTTGTCATGGTACAGATCACATTGATGGTTCTTTACATGTTGTCATGGTACAGATCACATTGATGGTTCTTTACATGTTGTCATGGTACAGATCACATTGATGGTTCTTTACATGTTGTCATGGTACAGATCACATTGATGGTTCTTTACATGTTGTCATGGTACAGATCACATTGATGGTTCTTTATCACATTGATGGTTCTTTACATGTTGTCATGGTACAGATCACATTGATGGTTCTTTACATGTTGTCATGGTACAGATCACATTGATGGTTCTTTACATGTTGTCTAATGGTACATGGTACAGATCACATTGATGGTTCTTTACATGTTGTCATGGTACAGATCACATTGATGGTTCTTTACATGTTGTCATGGTACATATCACATTGATGGTTCTTTACATGTTGTCATGGTACAGATCACATTGATGGTTCTTTACATGTTGTCATGGTACAGATCACATTGATGGTTCTTTACATGTTGTCATGGTACAGATCACATTGATGGTTCTTTACATGTTGTCATGGTACAGATCACATTGATGGTTCTTTACATGTTGTCATGGTACAGATCACATTGATGGTTCTTTACATGTTGTCATGGTACAGATCACATTGATGGTTCTTTACATGTTGTCATGGTACAGATCACATTGATGGTTCTTTACATGTTGTCATGGTACAGATCACATTGATGGTTCTTTACATGTTGTCATGGTACAGATCACATTGATGGTTCTTTACATGTTGTCATGGTACAGATCACATTGATGGTTCTTTACATGTTGTCATGGTACAGATCACATTGATGGTTCTTTACATGTTGTCATGGTACAGATCACATTGATGGTTCTTTACATGTTGTCATGGTACAGATCACATTGATGGTTCTTTACATGTTGTCATCACATTGATGGTTCTTTACATGTTGTCATGGTACAGATCATTGATGGTTCTTTACATGTTGTCATGGTACAGATCACATTGATGGTTCTTTACATGTTGTCATGGTACAGATCACATTGATGGTTCTTTACATGTTGTCATGGTACAGATTGATGGTTCTTTACATGTTGTCATGGTACAGATCACATTGATGGTTCTTTACATGTTGTCATGGTACAGATTCACATTGATGGTTCACATTGATGGTTCTTTACATGTTGTCATGGTACAGATCACATTGATGGTTCTTTACATGTTGTCATGGTACAGATCACATTGATGGTTCTTTACATGTTGTCATGGTACAGATCACATTGATGGTTCTTTACATGTTGTCATGGTACAGATCACATTGATGGTTCTTTACATGTTGTCATGGTACAGATCACATTGATGGTTCTTTACATGTTGTCATGGTACAGATCACATTGATGGTTCTTTACATGTTGTCATGGTACAGATCACATTGATGGTTCTTTACATGTTGTCATGGTACAGATCACATTGATGGTTCTTTACATGTTGTCATGGTACAGATCACATTGATGGTTCTTTACATGTTGTCATGGTACAGATCACATTGATGGTTCTTTACATGTTGTCATGGTACAGATCACATTGATGGTTCTTTACATGTTGTCATGGTACAGATCACATTGATGGTTCTTTACATGTTGTCATGGTACAGATCACATTGATGGTTCTTTACATGTTGTCATGGTACAGATCACATTGATGGTTCTTTACATGTTGTCATGGTACAGATCACATTGATGGTTCTTTACATGTTGTCATGGTACAGATCACATTGATGGTTCTTTATATATTTATCATGATGGAGATCACTTTCCTTGACATGTTTGTCAGGATGAAGATTTGTTGACTTGTTTGTTACAGGTTCATCTGGTCACTTACCACTAGATGTTACAAACACTTTTAAATAAGCAGGGTTATTCTTGAATTTTTCTATATCACATACCAGAACATAATAATAGGTAATGAACTTTGAACAATAGCCAAAAAAGTTAAAGGAATAATGAAACTAATTTAACAAATAAAAAGCAGGCAGAATATTGGTTAATTGGGTGTGAAATATTACAGCAAGCTGTTTCTTTTCTATTTCACAGAAATGACAAAATAACCTCTTCTCCATCAGTAACTTATTACTGTATAATCTGGTCTGTCAGTTAACCTGTCTGTGTTAACACAGGAGTATACAGATATAGATCTATACAGGAATCTCTAACCTCGACCAAAATTATCTTCTAAAGCATAACTTACAAGTATGTTATATTATCATTTTTTTACCAAAATAATTCCTTTTTTTAGGTTAATTGTAATTGTGGGTGAAGTGGAATTAGCCTTAATACTGTTTTATTACTTGTTTGCCAACTTTGACATTTAGGCGTATTTGAAATTATTTCTCTTCTCCTTGGTATGATAAAAACCTTTTTATATGTAGGAACGTTGATATGTATCTATGTGTGTATTATGTTGATATAACCGATTGATCACCCCCTCCCCCAATACTTCCCCCTCTGTCAGCCCCAGAGCTGCCTCAGCCAGACACATTCCTGGTATATATATGAAGAGCTGGCTAATCCCCATCAGAAGAGCTCCAGAGTCTGTTGTGTGTAACACCGGTACAACCCGGTCTTCCTCTGCTCAGGTAGAGATGGAATCGTGTCATTCTGCCCTCACCTACCCGGGCTCGGTACTGGCCCCCACCCTAAAGGTGGGTCCAGTGCTTCCCTCTAGTGGCGCCCGGACGACGGTTGTGCTAACGCCCTGTCACCCTCCTGTGTACTCCACCCTGGGACACCTCATCACAATTGTAAGTTGACAGATTACCATGGTGAAGATGTCTGTAGGTCAATGTAGGTACATGTGTACAATGCAGGTGAGATTGAATACATGTGCATATTGTGTAAGTGACGTCTTTGAATAACACCTATTGTCACAGTGAGCAGAGTGTTTGTGTTAAGGAAACTTAGATATGTGTGGAGAAAAGACAATGAAACTGGGTCAAGGTCATTGTTCAAGGTCAGTGACTGTCTTGAATATTCTTCTACTTATTTCAGTGTTACAATGGAGAAATCTTTTTACTTGAATAAAATTGTTCTTTGTTTTATCTGAGGTATGTCATTATTTACTGTACAAGCCTAATTGATTAGTTTGTCTGATGCTTCTGTTGTGGTATACTTTGTTCTTATTTGAGAACATGACATTACTTACTTTAATTCACTAAGATTTACAAGGCCGGTGAAGTCAATGCAGCAGCAGAAGACGCTTTCTGTTCTGGAACACCTGGTCTTATCCTTGTACATTTTCAGGAGTCTTCATGTGAATGTTTCTTTTGTTCTTATTTTGCCCTAGTTTCATTGAATTTGAGTATGGATTATGATTGTATTAACATCTCGGTAATTTCCTTTTTTTTAAAGATGAATTTAAACTTTTTGTCTTGTTGATCATGTGAAGTCATCTGTTTATGATGTGACAATGACATATTATTACATGTGTATTATTAAAGTATTTAAATTGCACATTATACAGCAGAACAGGCCAATTTGTGATCTATAAGTACTATATATCAATGCACTCTTTTCTACCATGATGTCTTGATGAGACATCATAAAAAAGTGTTCAAGTGTCCTTCATGATGTATAAGATTCTCAGAGTAAGCATGCAATCTTTCCTTTGGGATGCCTATAGATGTCATAATATACTGCCATGTTACTAATCAGTTAGGCAATGTATTCATTTTTCTAAAGTGTAAAATGTTTGGAAATCAGCTGGTTTATGTTGGGTTGTTTATGCTGATAACATAAAAACAGACTTGAATTTACTATCAATTTCTGAGGCTTTGATATCATAGATTGTGACAAATATTTAGTGACATGCTGATATTATCATCACCCACACTTGTAAATCATCCTTTTATTGAAGTGGGAACTAACAGCAACGTGCTTGGAAAAATGTCATGCTTTATGTTCTAACCTAGTAGACACTTTTCAACTTGCCCTGCATCTTTCTGTTCATCTGTCCATCAATCCTTAAACAATTATTGTTATCAATATTTCTGGAGAAGCACTCAATGGGTCATTCTCAAATGTAAGTTCTTCTTGGTTCCTAGTTGTGCATTTTGGAACTGATTTGAAAAACAACGTTGCCGACTGGTGCTATCTTCTATTTCATCAGTCATAGTTTGTTATCACCATTTCTAGATGGATCGTGATCAAATTTTTAAGTAGGTTCACCTAAGTTCCTAGCTGTGCTTATTTGATTTTGGGACTGATCAGAAAACAACATGGTTGACAGGTTGCCATCTTGGTTTTTAACAATTATAGTTTGTCATGACTATTTCAAATGTAGGTTTCCCTTTCTGCCTAGTTGTGCATGGTCAATGTTGGAACTGATCCTACAACAAAGAATAGCTGATAAGGGATTTTCTTTGATTTTGAAATGTTGTAATCAATATTTCTTGAGAAATATTTCATGGTTCGTTCTCAAATTTCATATGTAGGTTTTCTTTAATCCCTAGTTGTGCAAAGTTCATTTTTAGACTAGTCAGAAAATCAAAGTGGCTTACAGGCAGCGATCTTGGACTTTTTTGATGAAAGTTTGTTATCTGGAGAAATACTTGATTGATCTTTTTCAGATTTTCAAATGCAGGTTTCCCTTGGTCACTAGTAGGGCCATTTTGATTCTTGGAGTGATCAGATAAAAGAGGTGGCTGCCATAGATTTTCACAATGATAGGTTGCTATTCTTGAGAAATTGTGGATGTTTTTTTCTAAAATTTCAGGCATGAAAAAATTTTCCTTATTTCTTTGTTGTACACCATATGATTAAGAGTAAAAAGAGAAGAAAGAAGAAAAAAGAAGGGAAAAGAAGGGAAAAGAAGGGAAAAGATCTAAGTTTTAAAGAACAAATGAAGATCAAACAATGTTAGGCACCAAGTTCCTTCAGCATATCTTGTAAAATTAATCACAGAAAACAAAATGGCCTACAGGTGGCCGTAATGGATTTTGAAAATTTAAGATTGTTATCACAATTTCTTGAGAAGTACTGATTGAACTTTCTTAAATATCAGACATGTATTTCCTTGGTCTATAGTGGTGTATGTTGAATTTTAAAGGATGATTTTGAAGTTTGTTATCTCTATTTTTTGAGAAGCACTGAATGAATCTGTAAATGTCTCAAATTACATATGTATAGACTCCCCTTAGGTACTAATAAAAAATTGTTCATAGCACTGATAAGAATAACAAAATGGCCAACAGGTAGCCATCTTGGATTGTGACAGTTTTAGATTGTTATCAGTCTATCATGAGAAGTTCAAGATGTAGCATTTTCAAATCTGATGTGGTTTTTTGAGGGATGAGAATGAATAGAAAAGAAAAGATTGAAATGATCGAGAATCAATAAAGATCTTACCATTGTTGGCGCCAAGATCTGTATGGGAACTCTTGTTCAGAGAAACAGTAATACCCCTACACCTGTGTCCAAGTGCAGAAACAATGTAACTATGTGGTAGAATACATTGCAGTGGAAAATGAGAAAATGATTCAATGAAATTATTTTTTTTATTTCAGTGAAATAATTTCAGACATGTACTGTTGAAAGTAATATTGTTTATAAAACTGAAATAAATATTATACAAACATTCTCGCTCTGTAGTACAACCTCCTGGAGATAAACCAGTTTGGTTTCAGAAGTTGTGGTTTAAAACTAATGTAAGTGGAAAGGAATTGTGTAGATATTTGCATTTATGACATTCACAAAGGTACATTTTAATTATCTTTAATGCACAGAAATACTTAACTGATTGCTGAAATAAGATGATACAGACCACAAGGCCATTTGTACATACTGCACATTCAGTGAGTCCTGTTAGAATGATCTGTGATAGGAGATTTGTGTCTCTGAACTATCTAACTTTGGAGAGGAGATTCCTATGTTTATACCCCTCTGTCTGTGTTGTTTTGGGCAGACATCATGCTGATCCTACATTTGTTGACTTCCACCGAAACAGGAATGTGTTGTAGACCCCAGAATTGAAGGTAATATAAAGTTCATCAATTACAATTTGGCATGTTTCCTGAGATATGGTAACTTTCCTGTACAGATTGAGATGTACATGTGTGTTATCAGTACCAGCTCTTCTCTACATTTCTTAGTCTGAAAATCAAACATACCTGTTTGGTAAAGGTAGAATTAGTTTTATCCCTAGTGACATAGTTTTTATCCCTAGTGACGTAGTTTTTATTTCTAGTGACGTACTTTTTATCCCTAGTGACGTACTTTTTATCCCTAGTGATGTACTTTTTATCCCTAGTGACGTGTTTTTTATCCCTAGTGATGTTTTTTTTTATCCCTAGTGACGTACTTTTTATCCCTAGTGATGTGTTTTTTTATCCCTAGTGATATGGTTTTTATCCCTAGTGACGTACTTTTTATCCCTAGTGACGTGTTTTTTTATCCCTAGTGATATGGTTTTTATCCCTAATGACATGGTTTTTATCCCTAGTGATGTGGTTTTTATCCCTAGTGATGTGGTTTTTATCTCTAATGACATGTTTTTTTATCCCTAGTGATATGGTTTTTATCCCTAGTGATATGGTTTTTATCCCTAGTGATGTGGTTTTTATCCCTAGTGATATGGTTTTTATCCCTAGTGATATGGTTTTTATCCCTAGTGACGTGTTTTTATCCCTAGTGATATGGTTTTTATCCCTAGTGATGTGGTTTTTATCCCTAGTGACGTGGTTTTTATCCCTAGTGACGTGTTTTTATCCCTAGTGATATGGTTTTTATCCCTAGTGATATGGTTTTTATCCCTAGTGATATGGTTTTTATCCCTAGTGATATGGTTTTTATCCCTAGTGATATGGTTTTTATCCCTAGTGATATGGTTTTTATCCCTAGTGATGTGGTTTTTATCCCTAGTGATATGGTTTTTATCCCTAGTGACGTGTTTTTATCCCTAGTGATATGGTTTTTATCCCTAGTGACGTGTTTTTATCCCTAGTGATATGGTTTTTATCCCTAGTGATATGGTTTTTATCCCTAGTGATGCCCTAGTGATGTGGTTTTTATCCCTAGTGATATGGTCCCTAGTGATATGGTTTTTATCCCTAATGACATGGTTTTTATCCCTAGTGATATGGTTTTTATCCCTAGTGATATGGTTTTTATCCCTAGTGACATGTTTTTATCCCTAGTGATATGGTTTTTATCCCTAGTGACGTGGTTTTTATCCCTAATGACATGGTTTTTATCCCTAGTGATGTGGTTTTTATCCCCAGTGATATGGTTTTTATCCCTAGTGATATGGTTTTTATCCCTAGTGATATGGTTTTTATCCCTAGTGATATGGTTTTTATCCCTAGTGACGTGTTTTTATCCCTAGTGATATGGTTTTTATCCCTAGTGACGTGGTTTTTATCTCTAATGACATGGTTTTTATCCCTAGTGATATGGTTTTTATCCCTAGTGATGTGGTTTTTATCCCTAGTGACGTGGTTTTTATCCCTAGTGATATGGTTTTTATCCCTAGTGATATGGTTTTTATCCCTAGTGATGTGGTTTTAATCCCTAGTGATGTGGTTTTTATCTCTAATGACATGTTTTTTTTTATCCCTAGTGATATGGTTTTTATCCCTAGTGATATGGTTTTTATCCCTAGTGATGTGGTTTTTATCCCTAGTGATATGGTTTTTATCCCTAGTGATATGGTTTTTATCCCTAGTGACGTGTTTTTATCCCTAGTGATGTGGTTTTTATCACTAGTGATGTGGTTTTTATCCCTAGTGATATGGTTTTTATCCCTAGT